TTCTTTCTACCCGCCAGGGTAAAAATGAACTATCGGACTATGTCCAAGAGCTGCGAACGCTCATGGCTGCAATGCAGTCTGACCCTCTGCCTGAAGCAGTCCATGTGACTATCTTCATGGAAGGTCTACGTACTGGCATTGCCAGAACCGAGGTTTTTCGGGTTCACCTCTCTACGTTTGAAGAGGCTGTGATAATTGCTCTTAATGCTGAGCGTAACTTCAAGACGGCCAGAATTGGTAGGAATGGATTCAATCCTCGCTCTGTGAGAGCAAACTATTCGAGTACCACTGCCTATGATAGGCCGGAACCGATGGATCTCAGCTATGCTGAAGATCGAGGTGAAGCTGAGCTTCAAGCTGCTGAGAAGCAACACGTCGTACGACGATGCTATACGTGCGGAAGCACTAACCACTTGCGGCCTGGTTGCCCTTTGCGTAAGCAACACCAGGCTACGAGCCAACACTCGAGCTCGAGTCAGAATTCTGGCATGGCACGGGGAAATGCCGACACCCAGTAGGCGCGGGGAGCCCTACTGGGGAAGAACTATGTTCTGTTACACCTTTAGAAGGTAAAGGAATGCAGGGCTTAGCCCCAAAGAGTACTATACATGCAGGTATGGTGAGTGGATACAAGTCTGGCTTGTTGGTCGCCGAGGAGAAAATTAAGGGCTTTGAGAAGCCTTGGTCGATATTGATCGATTCTGGAGCGTCTTGCAATTATGCTCGACCCCGTTCCCTCGAGGGAAGTCAGCGTTATGCTGAGGCGCTTACAGCGCATGAGGGTGATTCTATCACGATTCGTTTAGCGACCGGAAGTCGCGTAACTGTGCCTAAAGTTCCATTGAACTTAGATATAAAGCTTTTAGAGTTTGACAGTATTTATTGCTGTCTTGTCCTTGATTTGGACTCGAGATATGATCTCATCCTAGGTATGGCTTGGCTTGAACGCCATGAGCCCTGTATTGATTGGAGGTCTAAGAACTTAGGCGCTACGCGCAATGTTCCTAGCGAAGCTTTGGAGAGTCATGAACCCACCTTCGCTAGGCAACAAAAGCGCTATTGGCGCGAGCCTTTGACAGAAGATGTCAATGTGCTGGATATTGGAATGTATGAGTTGTCTAACTCCAATGTTACAAACACAAGTTTCGAGCCTAGCTCGTCTGAAACTAGTGAAACGGCACGTACTCCGTTGAGTGTTGCTCGTCGTGATAACGAGTCACTGCATGCTGAAAGCATGGTTGGCCTAGAGCCTAGTGATCAAGGATGTGATTACTTTTATGTGTGTATGGTGGCACGTGAAACTACACCGAGTGCGGTCGGCCGTGAGAGCACCGTACTGAACGTCGGTAATGACGTTGTTGGCGATTCGCCGTATAGTGTGGGCGGCCGTGGAGGCACCACGCTTAACGTCGGTAATGGCGTTGTTGGCGATTCGCCATATAGTGTGGGCGGCCGTGAGGGCACCACACCTAATGTCAGTACTGATATTGTTGTCGATACTCCGTATAGTGTGGACGGCCGTGAGGGCACCACGCTTAACGCCGGTAATCGCGTTGTTGGCGATACGCCGTATAGTGTGGGCGGCCGTGAGGGCACCACACCTAATGTCAGTAATGATACTGAAGGCGATACGCCGTATAGTGCGGACGGCCGTAAGGGCACCACACCTAATGTCGGTAATGACCTTGTTGGCGAGACGCCGTTAAATTTGGGGCTAGGCCCGCATAATACACGTGGAGTGGCACGTTTCCATCCACTGGGTGAAGTGTTCGAGTTATGTAACACTTCACCGAATGTCGGTCAAGACAAAAGCTCTCGTATAGAGCGTACTATGGTTGGTGGTAACCATGGGGACAATGTTGTCCCGACCTCTAAGGGGTGTAAGGTCTCGAAGAGACGATCGCGATGCCGGGTAGCTACTTTAAAGCGCCAGGCGTCCTCACAGTCACATAGTGATAATAGTAATACACTATATACACTTGTTAATGGAGTGACTGGTCAGGTTGATGGCAGTGTTTGCCTTGAAACTCTTCCATCTGTGGACGCTCATTGTGAGCTAGGCGAAATGTCTGGTGGCGAGTTTAGCCAGGCCTTGAAGGCAGGAGAGTTATCCGAGTTAGCAATCATTAGACCTGATACTGAGTCGAATTCTTTCTCGTTAATGGATGAGTCTGTCCTAGAGGATACAAAGGCGGCACTTAATGCACGAAGTGGATCCTTGATCCTTAAAGATCCGTTAAATCCGTTCTATCCTCCTTCATTAAAGAATTTATAAGATGTGGTGTGTCACAACCCACCTTCTGCCTTACCCCCCCCCCCCGATAGAGGTGTACGTCATGAGATTGACTTAGTTTATGGAACTAAATACTGTGTAACACGGTAGTGGCCTTTGCCTAAAGAACAGTGTGACGTCATTGATGACTTCTTTTGTGCTAAGAATGCGGCTGGAATGGTTCGTGAGAGTAAATCTCCCCATTTAACACCGACATTTTGTGTAAAAAGGCAAATGGCAAGTGGCGTATTGTGCATGCTTTTGATAAGCTTAACGCAGCCACTATACCGGCGCAGACGCCTATTCCTAGAATGGATGTGCTTCAGAACAATATGGCAGGATGTACATTGTACAGTGCACTCGACTTAGTCGATGGTTATTACCAAAATCTTATTATGCGAGCAAGTGATATTCCGCTACCAGCGGTGAGTACTCCGAGTGGTATGCTCTGGGAGTGGCTTGTTATGCCACAAGGGCTATCTAAAGCCCCGGCTACGTTTAACCGGTTGGTAACGCAACTATTCAGACCTCATCGAGGCTGTGCACAAACGTACTTTGATGACATTTTTGTCCATAGTCGTGCAATGAATGGGTGATCAGATGTGGATAGCCACATTGATCATTTACGAGCTGTGCTCGAGTGCATGCGAACGAATGAGTTGTATGCTAACGCATCGAAGTGCATCTTTGATGCAGAAGAGATTTTCTTTCCAAGGTGCTTCATTGGGAAACGAGGCCTTCGAGCGGATCCCGCTAAGGTGAAAGCCATAGTCGACTGGCCGGTTCCCAAGAACCAAACGGACTTGCGTAAGTGGCTTGGCCTTGCCAATTACTTACATAAGTACACTGTGAATTACGCAGATATGGCTCGGCCATTGTCCGATCTCCTTAAAAAGGATGTGTATTAGTGTTGGGGAACACCGAACATAATGCTTTTAAAGCAGTTAAGAAGAGTCTCCTTCATGCGCCAAATTTGGCTTTGCACGATTCTGGTCGGCCTTTCAGTGTCGTCTGTGACACATCTGACTTTGCCATAGGCAGTGCTTTGTTACAAACAGATGTCGACGGACGCGAACGCGTCATCGCATTCGAGAGTCGGCAGCTGAAGCTGCTGAAAAGAAATATCCTGTTAATGACAAAGAGCCACTTGCTATGAAGTACGCTCTTGTCAAATTCAGAGTACATCTGCTTGGCTCCAAGCCGTTTGTGATCTATACAGATCATGCGTCATTACGCACTGCGACACAGTCGCCTCATCTCTCACAGAGAATGGCTCGTTGGCTTTCCTTCTTTGCCGAATGTAACTTCGAGGTGAAGTACAAGCCAGGTAAGCAAAATGCTTTGGCTGATGCGCTATCGCGTCGACCTGACTATGAGCTTGCTCATGTTACGACTCTGTAGTCGTCATTCCCTGACTTAATCCGTGCGACATATGCCAAGGATGATCAGTGTGTAGCTTTGCTAGGTGCTCTTGGGAGCGATGAGTTTAAAGACTCGGAGATAGAGTTGTCGGCAAGTTTACGTGCGAGGCTACGTGCGAGGCTACATCGATATTCCATTGATGATGGCCTGTTGTGCTATCGCACGGATATTGAGGATAACCATCGTATCGCTGTACCTCAGGATTAGGAATCAAAGTATCGAATCCTCTATGAGGCACGTGATACTGCTTTAAGTGGTCATATCGGTCGTGAGAAGACTTATAGCTCGATGAGCCAAAGTTATTGGTGGCACAAACTTTACAAGTGGGTGCGCACCTATGTGTGTACGTGCGAAACGTGTCAACGGGTTAAACCCTCGGCACATGCGGCGCCGCCGCTGGCTAGTTTGCCAGTACCCACTGATTGTTGGGAGTCCATTAGCATGGATTTTGTGTTTAGCCTACCGAAGGATTCGGAAGGCAACACTGGTATTGTGGTCTTTGTTGAACGATTAAGCAAGATGGCTCACTTAGCGGCTGTGCCGGATAGCATCGATGCTAAAGGTACAGCAAAGCTGTTTATCGACCGTGTGTCTCTTTAACAGGTTTGACTGTGGCTATTGTCTCTGATAGAGACCCCCGCTTCACTGGGAAATTTTGGAAGTCTATCTTCAAGGTGCTTGGCACTCGGCTGTACATGTCCACAGCGGATCATCCGCAGACCGATGGTCAAATTGAATGTGTTAATCGTGTCATTTATGACATTTTGCGCAGTGTTTGCGCTAATATGCCACGGCGTTGGATCTCAATGCTCCCTGTTGTTCAAATTTTCTTTGAGCAATGCTGTTCATGACTTCACAGGCTTTACTCCGTTTTACGTAAACGGTCTCAACCACCCTCGCGTTCCGTCAACGCTTCCACTCTGTGTCTCAAGGCTTGGTGGGGGAGAGGTTGCCGATCGGTTTGCTGATATCAGCCCTGCTACTGTTCCAAAACAGGTAGGCGAGTTTCTCGCAACACGATGAAATGTCTTAAGACATGTGCGTGACGCAATGGCTGATAGCCAAGATACCCAAAAACAACAAGCTGATGCCAAAGGCAGATATTTTATTGAACGTTATGAGGTCGGAGACCAAGTACTACTCAATGCTAAAAATCTACCTACAAATGTAGTGTCTGCTGTCTTTAAGACAAAGTTGCGCCCACGCTTTATTGGACCGTTTACGGTCACGGCAAAGCAGGGACTTGCGTATACGCTAAACCTCCTGCGCAAATTGCGCACACATTCAGTGTTCTACGTAGGCTTACTTAAGCCGTACCGGGATCCTTCCCATGTGAACTTGGAGGCGCTTGCGCCGACGACAATAGCACTGCCCCGGATTGCTGTAGACGAATCAGCAAGTCCAACTGAGCCTCGCTCTGAGTTTGAGCTTGCTCCATCGCCTGAAGGCGGCTTTGCATCGCATCCAGCATGCACTGGGACTTACCCAAGGCCTCTTAAAGACCCTTCACACCGAGAACCAATTTCTCGTGGGCCCCCACCGGTACACCGGCCGCCACCGACTTTGCTTGATGAGCATGGGTGTCGTCAATTTCATGTCGAGAGACTACTGAAACGACGTCGTCGTCAGGGCCAATACCAGTATCTAGTAAAGTGGCGTGGGTACCCTGAGTCTGAAAACTCATGGGAATTTGAGGTTCCCCTTCGGCAAGATTTCCCTGATGCTTTGGATGCTTTTGAGCATCGTGGTCATTAACATCTTGAGACCGAGGCCGTTTCCCACCAATTGTTGTGCGGGTTGGCAGGTTGTTGGCCACAGACTGACCAGCACTCGCGGCTACCTTAGTAGCCGAAGCCTAGCGCGTGCGCTTGCGCAATTGGCCTCTGGCCTTAAGCTTGGCATAATCATACCGAAGCTTGCGCTCGAGACGCATATCAGCCGCATGGGCACTAGCCGGTAAAGCAAAATTGTTGCTGAGGCGACGCACATAGTGCACCCAGTGAACGAAGGCATCGTCTTCTTCACTCACTGTTTCGCCTGCGAGCAAGAGAATGGGTATACCCTTGATCGGTGGAACCGTTGTACTACGTGCTTGCATGTCAAGGCGTGACTTGTATTGAATTTGAGTCGTTAGGTGTGGCTCCTGGTACCTCTCACGTAGTGCCTGGCAGCTCACCACCTCCTTAGGAGTCTTAGGCCCATGGACAATGATCCACGTTGCCAATGTTTGGCCGGCCGCTTGACGTAGACGTTCCTCCACACTGGGTGGGGTGAACACATAGTAATGCTGGCGTTCAAGGGTTGCAGCCATTTGTTCATAACGCTGAGCGTTTTCTTCTCTTTGAACAAGCAATTGTTGTTGCTCATCGAGCAAGTTCGTGATGAAAGTCTCATCAGACCCAGATGCTGCATGCTGCGCTGGTGGCGCGCTCGCATCTCCACGTTCAGTGAATAAATTTGGGATGTTCGAAGGTTGTGCCACAGGCATCAGTGAGCCGGACATTGTCCCTGTATCACCGCGGACACTGGTATCGCCACCGTAGTACACCTCCTCCTCAATTCCGAGGTAGTCGCACAAAGCCTTTGACTCGTTTAGTGGTGAGGACATCGTGCTAGAGCGTAAGTTACCGTGAGGTTCACCGTACGCGCACTGTTCTCGCTGAGAACACAAGTTCGATTGACGTTTTAGCAAACGACAGTCTGGTGGGGGAGGGTGTAACGGGGTTGCACGAAATTGTGGTATTTTGTACCAGAGGTGTTACACACCTGAGGTTACCCCTTTGTGAAGGTGATGTAGAATATCTTATTGGTTTGTAGGGGCTGACGATTGTCAGCCATTAGGTACGAAAGATCTTTGAGTAGGGTTAAGATATTCTAAAAGCGTTAACAAAAATAAAATCAGTTCTCATTTTGATCTAAAGGACACGTGGCTTGCGAGGCGTCTTTGAGCGTCGATCACTAATCATTAAGAGTTAGTAACAACACCCTGCGATAGCTAGTTACTCTTGAGCACTGAGTGCTGTCGATTCACTAAATCGTTAGGTCCCCTGGAACAGGGATCTGAAGCTGTAAAGCTTGTTGGCTCGTAATGTCGTTAGTTCTTTGGAACTAAGTTGCTCGTTGAGCGTTAAGTCTTCCTCTGACTCAAGGAGCTGTGTAGCTCCGCTACACTTATTGAACGCGTTGTTCACTACTAAGGCTTCCTCTACACATAAAGTGTACGTGACGTGACGCGCGGCGCCACCTACACAGTTGTCAGTGTAGTGCACTAGAACAAGATTAGTATAAGTGCCCAATGCTCCGTTATATAATTGATGTGTCTGCGGAACTTTTCGGGCGGCAGAGCTGCTGCGTGTTTAACTCTCGTCTAGCGAAAGCCAATTTTTATAATTGAAGTGGGGGATGACGACTTTTGTCAGTCAATGAAAAATCTAAAGCTGACAGGTATTTTCAAGGTCAAGTAGCGCATCCTGCCTTTATCTATATGCACTTAAATGTAGAGTGGGGAGTTTGATTGCCGATTGAAAGCTGGCCGACGCGCCAAAATAAGCTTTATTTTTGTAAAATTGACAGATGCCCAAATTTAGGAGACCTGTTGTATTTTTATGAGAGTGGAGACATACTAGATCGTGCTTGATTAGACATAGTAGGTAATTCTATAGCTTTTTACGTGCACCATGACACACAAAGACAAATGGTATATCTTCAAATTTCGGCATTTGCCTTGTGCACAATCGGTTGTCACCAATCTGTCTTGTAACGAACATCGTGAAAGACTCATAATTTAGCATACAATTATGGAATAATGATGTTATCACACTGCAAGAAACATCCATTAACCGGGTATCGAGAGGAATATAGCAGCCGTAAGGAAGGTATTGATCACACTTCAGCCGACAGGATAGAAGAGCTGCTTCGCGGCATTATAGTAGTCTAATATTCTCTCGACAAAATAATACAACGTAGCTTTTTCGCTGTCATTTCAATCATTTACAAGAGTGCTATATTTTCATGTGTTCGCGTAAGTCTCTCTTAAGCTTATCGTATTTGCATCAAATCGGCAGCCTAGCTCTACGTGGAATTGGAGCATACAATTTGGCGCTCGTGTGGTGCACGCGTGACTGCTGCACTGATCGAAACGGCAGGTTGAATTTCGGCTGATTCTTGTGTAAATTAAATGCCACAAGGGCTTTAAAAACGAGCATTTCGGTACGCTCTATCTTTTCGAGTACCTACGCTGGTATCGATGATATCGCCTCTGATGTCAATGGGACGAGTGGTCATCTGATTGGAATGATAATACCAGCGAATTAGCACGACTAAAGCATTCATAATTAAAACGCATGCAAATTGATAGATCGCGAAATAAATTTCTTTTGTCAGCGTAATAGACATACACCGTCAAGGCCGACGAAGGTCTCGGATGACGGAGACTAGTTTGTGTGGCTCGCTAAATCAGGGAATCATGACTGATGTAGCTTTTATACGCTGCGTTCCAGCTGTTATGGGCGTACATTACAGTACGAATGATTCTGCGTTAGCTGATATATGGGTATTAATCTGTCTAGCATGGTGGCCGGAGCTGCTATACTTCTGTCTAGCCCTCGTGTGCAGCTGTGAAGTTGTAGTACACAGTAGTTTCAAACTCTGGCGCACAGAATGGGAAGGCTGCGTCGTCGTGGCTGGAAATAAACAGGTTTTTGCCTGATGCGTAGGTCACGTAGCATCCCAGGCTGAAACATGCTACGACCACGACTAACGCTGGGATCCTCTCCCACATTGGTAAAACGTTCCATTTCTTTTTTAGCAAAAAAACGATGGGCAGGACGATAGAGTTGACCGTGATGCAAGACGCTCCGGTAAAATCGGCCAAGTCGTGGAAGTGGTCCTTTAGGAGCACCGACGCGACCACAAGGCTCGTAATTATTGCAAGGCGCAGTGCAATGTACTTCGCGACATTTGCTCCACTGTAATCGGAAGTCTCAGCCGCTGGGTCATCGAACTGGATGTTTTCATTGTCAGCCACCGAAAGGATCGAGCGGCGTTTTGAGACGCTGGACGTGGGTGAATGTTTCTCGGAGCGCTCGCCAACGTCAGGTGTCGACACTTCAACGTAGCTGAGCAAGTTGTTTTCAACATCCGAGGCGACAGGTTTGTGCATGCCAAGCACAATGCGCTCGGCAATGTAAAAAGCCGGGTTTAGAATCACAGAGAAGGCGATCGTAATGTGAAGCTGCATAAAGAGGTAGGCAAGGACGACCATGCCCCAGTCTGACGCAAAGCCGAGCGTCGTCAAGCCCGTCTCGTCAGGGTAGATCGCGTACAGGAGGTTGCCTGAGATCTGGCAGCCAACAGCCGAGTACGCCGAGGTGGCCAGAATGAGAAAGAGGACCGAGATGAACAACATCGTGATCCCGACGACCCAAGGCATGCGCGAGGGGTCGCTGTGCTGACGCTGGAGCGACGGAATGACGATCCCAGCACCATACGCGAGAGCCAAATTGCCGAAAGCACTAGCTACTTGCTTGAAGTTGAGGTCGGGCTTGGGAATACTTGGGTGACCACGCATGCCGTGTAGCACGATGCCGACGCCAATCACGTCAGCGATGATGGTGCCCATACAACCTGCAAAAGCAGCTGCTGCTCCTTCCTTTAGCGTTGGAACGAGACACACAGGAGCACACGAGAGAGCCATGAGGATAATCCACGTCGTCGCGCTAAAGGCTTTCGGAAAAAGTCCATCCAAGAGTGTTCCACCCAAGACGAGGAACACGCACGGCACTAGAAGACAATTGGCCATCTGCGAGACGACAGACAAGTAGCGACCAGGTGTACCCATGCACCATTCGCCAAGATCACCGTACGTCTTGACTGAGCGAGGAGCCATCAGCATCACACGACAGATCGCCACTGCCCCATACACGTTGGCAAAAGCCATGAAGACCATGGCGACTACGGCAAGAAGAGGACCGGCACGTGAGAAGTTACCAGGCATCCCAAGCGTCCCAATGCCATACACACAGCAGAAGAGGTTGAAAGCCACTTTAAAGTCTTCTGCGGTCACAATAGCTTTGTGCGGCATGGTGTGGACAGCGAGTGCTAAGCTGCAGTGGCAAGGATGAATGTGGAAGAGATGGTAAATTCGAGACTGAGGAGAAGACAGAGCAACCGTTGCGTGGTGAGCGCCGACGGGAGTTTCGCCTCCGTGATGCCGCCGATACATTAGTTGCGATCAGTTACACTTCCGAGGTATGTGATGGACGTTGAAGTTGTGTGCGATGTTGCACTCTCGATAATTGTCCACGACAATGAATCCGTCTCAAATATAGTGTTGATTCTTGTGCACTGAACAGAATGGACTCATCAGAAGCCCCACAATTAGCGTATGAAACTAAATGCACTAAAAATATCGTTGTAACTCCAATTAAACCACCCATTTGCTTGCGAGTCTAGAACGCATCGCACGATTGCTGTTCAGTAAGAACCGGACTTTTACGGGCGTACGCGGCATATAAATTTTATACTAACCGCACTGGGAATAGGCGCTTTCTTTAGTCTTGACTGCTGTGGAGAGGTTGATAACTGAACGATAAGCCGAGGGTAACCCGATAGTTGCTCTGATCAGCACAATTCGCTACGCTACGAAAGACAAGTGGTTGAGTATGTCATTTTATGATCATAGGGCCTTGTAAATGCAAAAATGTCGAAGCGACCTAGATTGCAAAGATGTTTGAATTCGCGAGTCACGGCAAGTGACACTAACTGATATAGCATCACTTAAGCAGTACAACGTGTCATGTGTGCTTTCTTTCGAAGTTGCCAATCAACTTGAAGTACCACATCAGCAAAAAAAAGAAAGCGATGAGATACACGTGGTACAATGATGTATGATTTCTGAGACGGACACCATCGAGGTGAATTAAGAAATTTGAGATTGAAAACAAGTGATTCCTGAAAAAAGAGGGCATCTGAGCTGGCGATAGGCTGGTCGATGAGTGCGAAATTGTCGCCGTAAAACTTTTCGTTAGCTATGAGGTCCATTTCCACCCTATTTAAAAATACGACGAGGGACAAGTGGCGAACGGACCAGTGTCAATGCTTGGAGAATGCGATTCTGTTTAAAGTCAAGTATTTAGCCAGCAGTCATTTTCCCGTGAGCCATTTATACCGCATGGGCACTGTTTATACGTTTAACGCTTTTTGAGTCGACCACCAGCATGGGTGTCCGCGTAATCATTGTTTTTTTTCAAAGATAAGACACAATATCGCTGACAGTCTGCGACTGCTTAAGATGCGTGACGAGTGCGTTTTATATCAGAAAGACACTGAAATTGGTTCTTGTGGACGTTGCATTGTGCCTGCCTTGATTACTACTCTTCTAGAACGCACAGTTCGCTGAGAATATCAAGAGCCATGCCAATCATGTGGTTGTTTGGTTTAAAAGGGGTTCGCGTTCAGCCTTGGTGAAGTTTACTCGGACCTGTTTTGCTCAGTTCTTAACCCATTCAAGTCACTCTGTTGACGATGTATGCGGAATCGCTTAAAATTACATTAGAGATCAGTATGAGCAGCCTTGATCTTTCTGAACTAAAGACTCAGTAGCTGGATAGTTGCTTTCATGTACGAATTATAATATGAGAAATAACGCTCAGCCGTCAGTACACAATGATGACAAACTAGGCGGATCGCGACGATGGCAGTAAAGAGCGTATGCGCAGTTGTTCCTAGCTTGTCCTTTACTGACATTTAGGTTTAGCCAAACAAAATAGGCTTCTGATAAAAGCACTCGTACTCGAAAGAATTGTGGCGAGACATGGTGACATCGAACTTTTGACGAAGTGAATTTGCTTGGTACTACCAAGTAAATTTATGATGCTATTTGCGCAGATATGGTACCTTTCTAGGCGATTCATTCCGTCGCTTGACCAATAAATTTAGGGAATTGATATAATCACACCTCTTTTCCTTGATTTCACACCCTTTGTTAAACCTGACATTCACACCCTCCCGATTAAACCTAGTATTTGTTCTTTTTTGCCAACCCCAGTTACTACACTCCTATACATCATGCTGTTTCTTTACGTATAACAATCGGGATAGTTTCTAGACTCTTTTTCGTACCTTCATTTCACACACTTCTCCGATTTTGTAGTTCTCTTGACAAACTGCACCTTTCAGGGTCATATGAGAGATGAAAGTGAATACTTGTCTGTGTATTATTGGAAGGGATGGTCATGCAAACGTAAAGCACGTCATCATCGAGGCCATCGCCTTACAGTCTACTTATATATAGTACACACCATCTGCAATTCTCGTACAGTTTGGCTGTTCTGTAACATAACAATAGAATAACCCTACATTTAAAACTGTAATGGATACTCTCCGCGGCTTCCGTAAGGTCCGTCCGGTACTTTTCCATACTGCCCAAGTCAGTTTAGACTATAAATTTGTAATAGTAGCCATTGAAATACAATGTCTGGAGGCACAAGGTAGCTGAAACGTCATTGCTGCACTCATTACACTGTGTACGTCACGTGTATCAGTTTGGTCAACTCTTGAGGTGGGGACGTGGAACAAACGTATGCTTAAGGTCTATTTTTACTTTTTAAAAGATGTCAGAAAGCCGCAGGTATATTTATAAATTCACACAAGCTCATGCGTATTTTCCGACGGTTGCAACATTAATTTGTGGTCAGAAGCGTGAACTATTATGGGTGCGGAAAGCTTGCAAGATGCTACCATATGAAGAGTATGCTGTCGATCTCTCATTTTTAAGCAGACTTCTATAGATTTCGGAATGGTCTATCACTAGAAGGAGCATCGTAAATTTAATGAACCGGAGCCAGTAAGAATTTACTATTTTAAATTGACAGCCTAAACTTTATTCGGGTTATGGTTAAACAAAATTGTAGGTTCATATTAACATTGTGATGTCCATTATTATTCGCGTGGTTATATATCAATTTATGAATTAAATTTAAACCAAAGAAAACCAATGTTATGTATTAGGGTGCATTATCGGCCTATTAAATAAGGGTGTGAATTTTAGGAAAAGGGATGTGTATATATCAATTCCCTAAATTTATAGTAGTCTTGATGATCAAAATTACACGAGCTTCATCACCAAACGAAGCAGATGTCACAGACTTGTACATAAAGCGCAGCCCCTTTTTATCAGGAAAAAAATGCCCCAGATAATTGGAAAATAAAAAAAATGTTTTAGATAATTAGAATATAGAAGAAATGCCCTACATCTTAGTATGCTCTAGATAATGTAGTACACATATGCATATATTGTTGCTTTGATGAAGGGCTTATCCTGAACCAAATATCGCTCATACTTTGTACGCTGATACGTCTGAGTATTTAAAAGCAGATGAGCCCTTGATTACGGTCACGCAGATGTTCATTATAAGAGAGCAGACTTATGCAATGCTCACGTATCAGCGCTACATTATGTCAATACCTATTTGCAACAGGCAAAAAACTGCAAGCTAGGTGCCGTAGAAAACATTTGTCGAATCTAGTGATTTGTAGGTCCTTAATCAATCCTAAGCTTCACTAGTTACTACCAAAATTCTATATAAGTTTACGGAATGTAGGTTGCAGAATACCGAATCAACGCAGCAGGTGGTGTGGCACCACACAATGGTAAGAGGACGCATGGCAAGTACTGTCGGATACAGTACGACATAATCTTGTTGATGTCCGTATTATACGTTTTAATGTAAAATGTATTCGTTTACTAAAACTTTGACATGTATGCTGGAGTGTGTAAACACGGCGACCAAATCGAATGTATTGTGTGTTATTATTACATTTTACACTCTGCAATGCCAGCTTACTTTTTAACAGAGCCAACTAATCTATGCAATATCACTATAATGTAGCCAACAGCACTAGGAAAGACTTTTGGTCTACAACAATAAGTGTCAAACAGGTCAAATGGATTCACGATGGTGTATCGTATGGTTAAAAAGCTCTAGTACCTTTAGCGTACGAGCAGGAAACGCTTCCAATCCCATAAGTAAACAACTACAACAGCAGCGCTGCAGTACCATCAACACCACCTAACAGTAGTAACACCGAAAACACTGACAGCAGCAGCAATAACCACGGCATCAGCAGTAACAACACCAACTATGGCAAGCTTGGTTTCAATGCAACAGGTACGACATAATTCAATCAAAGAAATAGCACATGCGTCTACAGTCACATCGTTAGTAGCAACAATGCCACCAGATTAACGACACTAGCAATAATTCAGCATCAACTTAAACAAGAAAACAATGATAAAAATATGACAATAGAAACACAAGTAACAATGACAAAAACGATATTAAAAAGCAATACCATTAAAACAAACAACATCAGCACCAATAGTCCACGTTCACGTCCGCGGTAAACAGTTCAAAGACGGCGTCAAATCTATTCTGTGCCGTGTGCGTCCACCACTGGTGGTTGCGAGCGCAGCACGTCCGCGGCAAAACCTCCTACGCGGCATCGCCTATAGAGCGAGGGTTAAGCGTGGTAATTCGAAGAATATTGAGAAAATACCACGCAATGGAAATTCTAATGTACCTCATAAACTGAAGCATACGAGGACAAGGAACTTTTTATTTCTTATTTCACAGTCGGGGATTTGTTTCCAATTATCTAGGATAATTTTTTTTCCAGTCATCTAGAATATTCGTTTATTTTCTAATTATGTAGGGTATTCTTGTATTCTCGCAATTACATACACATTTATTTCTCCATCATATAATTTTGTTCACACCCAGTCAATGACACGTGGTACAAAAATAGTTCCAGCTGTCGCAATAGATTTTGAGCACTGAGACCATGGCGCGCAAATTAAACACTAGAAAATACCCAGATTTAGAACGACTTGAGGCGCGCTGCTCCGGACGGTGCAGGTGCAAGTAATCTCGGTTGGTCAATTTGCAATTACAAATGCCTTGTCTGCTCTTATTTTAAGGAAATTTAGCTCATTGACAAAATTTTAAGCAAGCCCTTTGTGTCTATAAGGCTACGTGTTCGTGTGATTGTACATTATCAAATCAAGTCCTCAGACGCGGCGCT